TTTTTTTTCTTTCAAGAGAACCGTTCAAACTGTCATCATTACGAAGAATTTTTCATGAATTGAAGAGTTTATGCGAATTCAAGTGATTACTCATTATGAAGCGCAAATGATCAACCTGTTGAGTTGACGTATGTAGTTCGATAAAGTTTGAATGGATAATAAAGTTTTGAAACCAATCTTCGTTTGCAAAACTTTTTTCCTCCTGGTTCATTCCATTAAAAGGCGTACCTTGTGAGAGGTCCAGTCTCTGATCCACCTGGGGATACCCTCCACGATGATCTGTCAATTCACGTTTCGTTGTTAATGGTTCTCTTTATTTTCTTTTAGTGATGCTTTTACTTTTTTACTTGATACTTCCCAACTGTAAGTAATCCTCCAATTTCCCTGTTTTCTGCACCTTGGTTAACATAGGCGAAAGATTAAAAATTTTACTAGGCATTCATGGTACCGACCGATAGGTTAAATAGAGGAAAGCAATAGAGTGGGTACGGTGGTGTGGGCACCTCTCCCAAGTCGCCTTACCCGTTCAAAGTGAGATTTAACGTACATTGGGGTGGGTGTTTTCGATACTGATCTAGTTTTTCACTCCAAATAAGCGAAGCCATTCTGGGAACAAGTTTACAAATCACTTCCACGGGATTCTGTCGAACTTTTGAAGTATTCACTGTGACGGCTGTGAAGAGATGGTGCAGTTGGGAGAGCGGTAGACCCGTTCTCGGAAATAACATTCTTCTGAATGATCTTTGAAAAGCACTCCAATCCATCAATCGACCCTGGTTTCTGTCGATAGAAACGGACACTGGCAGACTGGATTACTCTCATACTGTAAGATGCCATTTACAACAACCTGTGTATCCATTTCGTGGAGGTTGAAGATACTGATTCCCTCTAGCCTTCTGATAATAGTGGTGACGACGGCTCCAGCATATCGCGTGAAAGAGCNACGTACCTTTTTAGGCTTGTACGATAGAGATTTTAGAAGAAGGCAATTCCGAACTTCATAAGCGAGTACTACTTGTGTTGTACAGGTAGGGTGGTCATAATAATCATCATAGAAGGCTGGAACCCTTCCATTTTCAAGGGCAAGAAAAGCCGCTCACTTCTACGAGAAGATCAGAAGAGCAAGATGAGCTTTTCATCTCTCATTGTGCTCAGTTTCAAAGTAGCCTCTGTCTTCAACGCTTCAGCTTGAATGCCATGAGAGGTTCTTCAGTTTTTATCAGTTATGACATCAACATTCCTCGTTTCAAGTCGGCTGTTCAACAGTGTAAGTGCCATTCGGTTTCGATCGTTGAGAACGAATTTCATCTAAAAAAGGGCCGAATTATGTGAAAGTGAAGAATTGTCTTAATCCCAATGTAGGATACCATTCTACGGATAGTAATATAAATATCCAAAATGGAGGTATCACCTGTATCACCTGTCGTTTTGCTGATCACCGATTTACCGGTATCACCGGGCAAGAGGTGGATTTGTTTTGGAATTAGAAATGGGCAGAGTCAGTGAGGGTGGGACAGGGAGAAAACTGTTTACAAGAGATTCTCTAAAAATAACAAAACAAGTCCAGCGTCAAGGATGCCCCTCCCGCCACGTTCGGGAGTCCACCGGTTTATGCCATCGCTTCTCAGTGATCACAGTGATTTGACGTGTTTCGACAGAATTTCGCATCACACTTAACTTATTTTAGTGTTGTTCCCAATTTTGTTCGATTTCGCAGGTTTGGGAAGTAGATCTGATGTGAGATCAGCATTCTAAAATATAAGTAAATGATACTATCTCCACTGGTGAACGGAGATATGGAGCGGTTGGCAGTTTCTAGCTGAGATGACAGTCTTCCAGTTACTCCACGAGACGATTTTTTTCAACGTTTTGCCGATGTCACACATAATCATGATTTCGCTAGCGCTGATAAAGCCAAACTCTAAGTCAAACTGATAGTTTTTCTTCGTCAAGCAAGAATTTCAAGTCAAACTGAGTCACTGTGATCACTTGGTTGAAACTGAGTCTCTTTGCGAGCTGCTCGAAGATGATCGCATATCTATCGAGTTGTATAAAGATCGGTAACTGCGATAATGAGGCATCTAGTCCGCTACAGCCGCGTGCGACGAATCTTTCACACAAAAGCAATTCAACTGTCCGTCTCCTCACTCTTCTGTTACTTACTATAGGTGATACGACTGCTAGTTATGATACAGATTTACCTTAGCGAAACTTCTGGGAGCGGATTTCTCTGCTCAGGACAATCCCTCTCAAGTTTGAGAAGAATGAGAAGGGCGACTTCTACTAATCGTTCCAATAACCACAGCACTTCCCGCAATTTTCCCGCTCTTGTTAACTGGGCACATGTGTCGAGTGCTCCTCGGTCTGAGCTAGGAGCTTCTAGATCGTAAGTGAAAGACGAGTTGGACAGTCTTCGTTACTGCTCAATATGTGATATGAGGATATGATAATCCTGATATCTTAACCACTTCAAGAGCGAGGCGCTTTCGCCAAGAATGTCAATCGTTCTTCTTCTGCTCCAACGATGTTTGTATTGTGATATGCTAGGAAAGAGTACCGTTTTGATCGCAAGAATACTCCGCTCACAACTGCAAGATATGGCGACTCTCAAGGATATTGGAATGCGAGGTTGAATGCCGACGTCATACTGACGCATCACTAATGGCCATTGAAAAAGTAAATTTCAAATGAAGGCAAATAGTCTATTGACAAGTTAGTGAATTGTGTAGACAGCTTATGCTCAGAACTTTCGCTGTAGATGAGATATGATTTTTTGATACGAATATTTAGGTCACTGAAAGAGATTGGAAGGCTGGCAGTAGAATCGGTATTGTACAGTCGATACGCCGCACGCGGCTGTCGCGAAGTAGTTGTCTCGCTATTGCACTTCCAGCGTTCATACACCTCGGTCCGTGTGCCATTACTATTTTTGGCATGATTCTACAGTTGCTTCGTTTGTACCTTTATTTCTGACTCGCATACTACAAAAGTTGTTGTTGAGCGTTTATGCCACTTAATTATTTTTTACTTGGTCATAAATACTTATGCATAAGTGTGGAAAAACTGGTACCAGGACTTTTGTGTCAACAAGGATTGAAGAACAAGCTGGCAGCTGAGCAAGGACTGCCAGCAGTCGATAAGTAGTAAGCGGTACTGAATAAGTCCATCATTTCGCCATCATTTCCGCCACCAGATCACCATGAAGGGGGTGATCAAGTGGCGGAAATGATAGTCTTGAAATAACCTCCACGTTCGGTCTTTTTGAAACTTGGGCATATTACATAATGTT